CCCTTCTGAGTGCCGGGCCCCCCATGACTGCACAGATTATACCTCTATGAAGCAGTCCTCTAGTCTTAACTGCAATCCACAGGAAATTCAAGGTTAAACGACACCACAAGGACACAGCCCACAAATCCAGGGCACGGGGCGCTGAAGACTCAATGACCTGACTGCTCCAACAAGCCAGTGGGGAAACATGAGGGAGGAAAGGCTGAAACAGACTCAATCAAATGAAATGCAAACTTGTTTGGCTCCTGACTGAAATAAACCAACTGTGAAAACCCATTTCTGGACAGTTAGTGAAATTTGGATGTGAACTTGTATTCAATACTATAAAGGAAGTACTTTGAATTTAGTTAATAGTGAAGAAAAATCATATATATAGTGGTTATGTGGATAATAGACCTGATCTATGAAAGATGCAGACCAAGGTATTTATAGATCAAATGATAAGATGTTTGAGGTTTAATGAATTTCAGAAAAAAGGGGGGAATAGTTGACATAAAATTGGCAAAATATTGACAAATTTTGAATCTGAGAGGTTCATCATTTTATTCTTTATACTTTTGTAAAGTTTTTTAAATGTTTTGTAATGGAAAGAAGGAAATGTGTGTGTGTATAATTGTCATCATGTATTTGTTAAACAATTATTTTCTTTGTTTATAGAAAATTCTGTTTTCTACACCAAATTATTACTTCTCTTTGCAACAAATTATTAAATAGTTAATGAAAACATTTGAATTCTATGATTTATGCATGAGAACATTGACATGAAAATAATTTTCTGCAACTCTGTGTTCTTTTCATTTCTTAGAGCAATATGGAAAATTTCCCAGCACATAAGATATTTTAATGTTTTTCCTAAAGATGTAACTATATATGGGTAAGTGGCTAATTATTCAAGTTTTTATTTAGTAACAAATTCAAGAGAAATCCTATTTTTATTGAAAATTCTATCAATAAAATTATTTGTGATAAATTAATTTTTCCTATAACTCTTTTAAGGAACACGTATGTTTTTCATATTATATTTTTTCCCACAGTGAAAAAAGAAATTAACATGCACACACAATGCACATGTAATTTAGAGACCTGTTTAGACATTAAAGTAGATTGAATTTGACTGAACATGGCCTCAAATTAATAAAACCGAAGGAAGGGGAAACTGTATTAAAATCGAGTCTTAAGAAGCAAGGTTCAGTTACACCTGATGTACAGAACTTTCTAGACCACACAAAAAATATCTTCATAGTCAGACTGAATGCTGTAAACATGAGAGTGAATATATTTTAGCTTTGCTTTCAGATCAGTGAGATTCTTGTCTTGCTGGCATCATACTAAAAGCAGGATTAGGATAGGACATTAGCTCAAGAGGCTTATTTGGAAAAATTGCTTAGGCCAACAATTTAGGAGGGATCAGTAAGTGAGCTCTGTAATCAGGAAACATAGTCATCTATACCAATTCAGATTCTTTTTCCAGACATGCAAGAAAACTTTCAAAGCCAAGAACTATATTTTCAGTAATGTCCAAACTCTGACTTTTCAAGAAATCTTTCATTAGTAAGTGTTTGGTTTTCCAATCAAATACCTTTCTGGGAAAAAGCAGAAGTCATTTTAAAATGGGAGATCCCCCCAAATAAAAAGTCTTTAAGTAGAGATGTTAGAGGTTTTATAGCTACCTAATTTCATTTCAATTTGTTGCCTAGAGAAGAAAAAGCCAATTTCAAAACTTGGAGGATTTGAAATACTTTACTCTCTTATTAGTTTATAAAAGTTGCATCTTGCTAAGTTCTATGAAAATACCCTATTCAAAGTTGTAGAAATGGGCAATGATGATAAATAATAATATCCAATAGTTGTTGAACACTTTTCCAAAATTCAAGGCCTTTGCTAGGATTTTACATTTGTTATCTCACCACAAATCCATGAGTACAAAGTACTTACTATGCTCACAGACTTTTTTAAAAAAGTAAACATATAAAAAAATAAATTTAGATCATTGACACTACTACTGTGGTCATATGTCTTTGGGACAAAATTAATTCTTTGACAAGAGTCCAGTGTGTACAGAACAGACATAAGGAAGACCTAGCAGTCTATGACATGACCAGAAACGCATGTTATTATTGTAAGAACACCATGTATTAGATAATGGGATAATATCTAATTGATGGAATCAGATTCCACAGCCAATAGTATTCCCTCAGAAATAGACTCAAATGTGGAGATTCATATGCAGTAGGTTTACTGTGATGTACTCTTGGAAACAATGTCTGGGAAGAGTCTGGGAGAAAGAATTAGATATGAAGAGAAGTTCAGCTGTAATGCTCTTGCAAAAAAGTCTCCAGCCAATCATAGAGGACTCTGAAGCTGAGATGGTGCTTGAGAGTTGTCCAACGGCTATATTAGGAATTCAGCTTCTTAAGTTGAGTGCATCTTATTTAAGGATATGTAAGAACATGTGAAGAAATATTCTCTGGAAAATATTAAAAATATTAAAAACTTTTGAAGAGTTCAAGAACTTTGTTTACTTATTCAAAATTCTCAAAATATTCTAAGTTCAACATTTTTGTATTTTCCTGTTGAATTAAACTACTTTTAAGAATTATATGACACTCTGTATCCCTAACATCTATTTAAGCTTATTTTTGCTGATACGAGTATAGCGTCAACAGCTTTATTTTGGATAATATTCACCTGTTTATCTTTTTTTCCATCTTTCAATTCTTACTTTTCTAGGTTGTTAGGATTCTAATAAATAGCATAGAGTTGGTCATTTTAAAATCCAGTCTGGCAGTTTTGGCTTTTAAGTGGAGTATTGAGTTCATTTAAATTTATCAGTGTTTTGGGCCTTTTCTATAATATTTCTTAGTACGTTTTTATTTTTCTTTTCTAAGCTTCCTTTTTCTTTCTTTTTTAAATCTATTGATTGTTTTCTCTCCTTATTTAATTTTTGTCTCAATTTTTTAAATAAAAATTTTCTATTTCTAATTTTCAAGTGGTTACAATTTAAATTTTATTATGTTGATTTAGTCAAGTGTAACATCTCAAACTCTCTTTTGAAAAATACAAGGTGCTGAGTGCAGTGGCACATATCTGCAGTCCTAGCTACTTGGGAGTCTGAAGGGGGATCATCTGAGCCCAGGAATTTGAGTTCAGACTAGGCAACATAGTAAGACCCCAGCTCTGAAAAAAGAAAAAACCCACAAAAATACAAAGATTACAGAACATTTCAACTTATTCTATTTCCTACCTTCTAATAAATGTTTCTAGTATTTTAATACTATGTAGTTTTAATATTCACAAATAGGAATATTTTATAATCATTATTTTATGTAGACAATATTAATTGAATTTTACCTTAAAGCATCCCTCCTCTGTTTTTGCCCTCTTTCCTTGTATCTCAGGTATTCTAAGTTTATTTTCCTTCTTCCGAAAGTTTAATATTTAGAACAGTAGTTCTTAATCTGTGTAGTTCTATTCTCCCTTAGAAGGCTTTTTGAAATATGTGGGGACATTTTGTCATCACAGTGGCTTGAGGGCACTTACTGGCATCTGTAGTGTGAGACAGGGACACTTAAACACCTTGAAATACACCCGGGACTATCATGTGCACAAAAGGATTGTTCTGGTTCTTACATGACTCTCAGTGGTTTCAATGGTTCTTTTGGATATTTCATGTAGAAAAAATGCTCTTGATAAATATCTGAGTCTAGGATTGAACTCCATGTATATAAATAGATACAATGTTTATAAATAGGACCTAATTCCATGTATATAAATAAATACAATACTTATAAACATGGAATTAGAAATATAAACATATAAATATAAATGGAATATTTGGCACAGTTTTAATACACTGAATTTTTCAGGAATGCAAAAGCCATGTAAACAAGGAAATTTGTTCTGAATTTTACCAATAATAGTTTATTTACTATTTCAGAAAATCACATCACTAATGGGTATCTAAGTCTTCGTGTCTGAGTTGTCAATACAACCATCTGTGTTAATTTGAATATGCAGCTGTTACATTGCTGGTAACTCTGTGTACACACAGACATGCACATATACATATTGGGTTTTAACGATTACCCACAAATAAAGTTGCAAATATGCCTATTCTGCTATTATTTTTTCCCCTATGCAGTAAACAATCAAGATTTAGCATACATTTCATGAAGTTACATGCTGCTAGAACTGGCAAAGATGTATCATACCTTTGATTCTGAAAGTAATAGCGTAAACATCAAAGAGGACATGAATCCTGGCTAATATGTGATGTGTACCTGATACTAGGGAAGTAAAATATAAGACTGGATAAAGGAGAATTCATTGACATTGAACCACTCATCAGTGGGACGGCTCCTTACAGCCTGGACACAACCATGGTCTGGTGAATTGATCTAGACTGGTAACTGGATGAGGGACCATGAAGATCCACTGCAGCTTCCTGCAGAATAATCTTTGTATATGATATCACATGGTGTTTCTCGGAATTCAATTGCATCCTACTACTTGCAGGAAAATCTCGAATCCCTGAACGTGCCAACAGATTAGACCCTTCCAGATGTCACCAATTTACTTCTTTAGCTTCCTCACCTCCTCTTTCTAACCCTATTACCTCAAGTGCCTACACTTGAGGCTCCAGTTCTTTGCATGTCCTGTTTGCTCTCTTTGCTTCTTTCCTCAATTCCTCTATTGGGTTGAAGTGTAATTCTGGGTCTCCACAGCACCTACTTGGCACATTTTTTTTTTTCCCTAGCGTGACATTTCACTGCACTGTATCGTAATCGTTAATTTCTTTTTCTGTTATTCAGTGATGGAGGCTTCCTAACTCCCAGCGAGCTGCTCCGTGAGGAAAGTGGGAAGGCGTAGGAACTCAATAGGTGTTAGCTGTTAGAGGAAAACGACACTGCAACTTTTCAATACTCTTCACTTTTCACTTCAGGCTCGTCAGGCTACTTTCAGTTTCACTTCTACTATCTTTCTTTTACTGATCACTTTCTCTTCGGACTTTCTTCCCTCCCATCTACAACGCGGCAGCGAGGGAGAGTGACTGATCCGAACATTTTCTGGACGCCGCAGGTCACCTGGTGGCACGTCCTCCCACCGAGGAAGACTCATCAACGAGCTGACGTCACGCGCATCGCTGACGTTGCGTCGTCGGGTCCTCCCATCAGATCATTCCTGATGTCTCTTGTGTTGTTAGCCGGGAGAGCCTGAGGTCTGTTGGTACTGAAGGCTAGCAACGACGAGTACCAGAGGCGAGACCTCGCGGATCCCTGCTTCCCCAAAGTAAGGTGACTCGTTTTCCGAAATGACGCGCGGGCAGGTGAGGGCCCACTCACAAGCGCTCGCCGCGGTCTCCTTGGGAACGACGGCGCGTGTATCCTGGGCTGGGTGGGGATGCGCGTGCGCAGTGCGCAGGTTTTGCTCGGACCCAAAGTTACGAGAGTGGGCGTTTGATTCCCACAGGGATGACCCCTTTCTCCAGCGAGGACCTAGCGATGGTGCAGGCAATGCTGAGGCAGCTGTTCCAGAGCGTGAAGGAGAAAATCACGGGTGCCCCCTCCCTGGAGTGTGCCGAGGAGATTCTTTTACATCTGGAGGAAACTGATGAAAATTTTCACAAGTAAAATTGCTTTTGATGTCTTAAGCCTACAATATCATTGATCCAGAGAAGGTCCAGAGAAGGGTCGATAATATTAATTTGATTATTGTTGTTAAAATAGTGCCCGACTTGTAGGTTTACGTTTTCTTTTATTTGCCAAAACATCGAATTTATTTAACATTTATTCTTATTTCCTAAAGCTTCTGCCACCTCTCTCTGTCTCTCTCTCTCTCTGTATTTTTTTGCGGGGGAGTCTCGCTCTGTCGCCCCTGCTGGAGTGCAATAGGACGATCTGGGCTCACTGCAGCCTTCACCTTCCGGGTTCAAGTGATTCTCCAGCCTTAGCCTCCCGAGTAGCTGGGATTACAAGTGCCCGCCACTGGACCCGGCCAATTTGTGTATATTTAGTAGAGATGGGTTTCACCGTGTTGGCCAGGCTGGTCTTGAACTCTTGACCCCAAGTGATCTGCCGGTCTCGGCCTCCCAAAGTGCTGAGATTACAGGTGTGAGCCACCGCGGGCCGCTGCCCTCCTGTTTTTACTGATAAAACCAGCATATCCTAATAATCCATTCCCCGAGGCTCACCCGGGCAGCGCAGTAATCTCTTTGAAAGAATACTTCACGATTTCAAGGGATTCCTGTACTTTGCTAAAAGCAGTGAGTTCCAGCGATCTTAGCTCCTTTGCTTACATTTTTCAGTGGCTGCACAAATTATTCACTCTGAGCACTGCAAAGGGAATATGGAAGTGAGATCATTAGTTTCTACTGGAATAGTTTTTTAAGTTTCTCTAAAGGGGTAAGCCACATAACTAAATGTCTGTGATACGTGTCAGAAATGTAAGTGACAGAGAAGGGGGACAGAATGCTTTGCTCGTGGGAGCAGTAGGGAAAAGACGTTTAATGAGTGAGGTGCCATTTGAAGTAGAACTTGAAAATCTTTGGAGACCTATGTTTTTCTTTTGATTTGGTTCATATAAAGTCTACCTCCAGGTGCCTCCATTCATTACTATTAGTAGTATTTTTAATCTAGTGTTCGCATTTCATTTTGATCTGACAGAGACGACACTGGAAATTTTTCTAGTTACACTGCCTTTACTGACTCTTGGATATTCATGGGTACCCTGAAGTTCTGCTTATCTGGAATACCTACCAATATTATATGTGCATCAGGGTATTTTTGAGTTCTTTAAAATTCTATGCACACGTTTGTGTTTATTTGCAGTTTTATAGGGGAGTATTTACAGTTTTTACTACTTTCTCAATTGAGTTTTAAAAAGCGTGGAAGGAATCTTCATTAATATAAAGTTTCTAGTTTCTCTAGTATTTCTGATTATATGTATGATTTGTTTTGAATTTCCATGATTTTCTTTATTTTCTCATTAAATTCACTGTTAATACCTGTTATTAGATGATAAGGTTATTTATTCTGGAGCTACCAGAAACTAGCTTTTATTGGTTACCTACAGATTTATTAAACAGTGGATTAAAGAAAAATTAGAACTTTTTCAAATATAGGTTGGGTGATAAATGTTTTGTTAGCTCATGTAATGATAATTTACCTCACACATCCACGTCAAGCATTATGTTTGGGATTTCATTTCTGGTTTTTATTTTACATGAGGTTGTTTAAATAATCTGTAAATTACTGAGTAAGTTTTTGCTAGGACCATATTCTGGGAATTTGGCCATTTCATGTATATTTTCAAACTTATTTATATAAAGGTTTCCATGAATATCCTGTTATCTTTTGAGTATTTCCAGTATCTGTAGTCATGTTCCTTTTCATTATTTATTTGTGTCTTCCCACTTTTGCTCTTCATCTGTTATGCTAGAAGTTTATTTTATTAGCCTTTTCAAAGAACCAACTTTTGGCCTTTTCTCCTCCCTTCTGTTATGTAAACACATATATTATTTTTTGTTTTATTAATTTCTGCCCTTTATTTTTTTTTATGTGGGAAACCTTTAACCTTATTGTACTGGATTCTAGCTTATTAATTTGAAACTCTTTTCTCTTTTCTAGTAGAAGCCTTTAAAGCTACACATTTGCCTATAATTATTGCTTTAGCTGTATCCATTTAAAAATGTTTTTTCAAGTTAAAATTGGATCATTGTAGTTCCTCTCAGAAGTCTAATGACTCTTGTAATACTGTATTTACTCTTCAATAGTTCATTAGGTAGATTAAATAAATGCTTGTTGAATGACATGCACAATTAATAGTTACTATTTACTAAAGCGATTTACTTGTGGCCTGCCTAAAAAAACAATACAGGCACACTCAAATTATAGCTAGTTTAAAAGTAAGACTTGGCTTAGAATCCTAAAAGTCATTTTTAGTCTTAAAAATAGGATAAATTCAAAATATCTTAGCTGCACTAGCCTGAGATCTGTGTCTTAGGAGGAGGGAACTCTTTCATGTGTGAAAGGAGAAGAGGAGCTGCTTAACTGGCATTTTCATGACTTTTACAATTTCAGAGTTGGAAGGGATTTTAAAGGTCAGTTATTTCAGGTGCTCATATTTTCATTTGTCTTTCAGTGACCTAACTCTCCTTCAACACTTAATGTTCTACAGTCACTTAGGTGTGTTTTCCTTTCCAAAGTGTTTATTTCAGAATTATTCATTTTTCCATCTGCACTATTAGAACATTGATTTCTTAAATCCAAGTGATGTTGGCCTGTAATTATCAACAAAAATAATCTCATTAAAAGACATATAGGGGAGGCTGGGTGTGGTGGCTCATGCCTGTAATCCCAGAACATCGAGAGGCCAAGGCAGATGGATTACATGAGGTAATGAGTTCAAGACTAGCCTGGCCAACATGGTGAAACCCTGTCTCTACTGAAAATACAAAAGAAAAAATTAACTGGGCATTATGGCGGAGGCTGAGGCAGGAGAATCCCAGCACTCGAAAGTTGCAGTGAGCCGAGATCGTGCCACTGTACTCCAGTCTGGGTGACAGAGGGAGAGACACCATCTCAAACAAAAAAAAAAGATTACAGGGAAACTGTTACTGGACTGTTAACATTTTGTAAGAAGATGGTTTTTAAGACAGTTGATGTAATTTCAGGCAGTATAATAAAGTGAGGGAAAATATCAGTTGGGGAGAAACTGAAGTGTAGGCAGTACAGCCATATCTAGGCATTCATTCTATGGGACAGCTAACATACTGTCTCTGCTTTTCATAGGCACTTTTCTTTTTCTGCTGTAAACTGTACATACTCTCTAAGAGATCAAAGCGCTTATACTTTTCTCTAAGAATGGCAGCAATGATTTGAGGCCTGGTGGGAGAGAAGAGAGAGAAGAGGACGTTGGTTTCATTATGTGTGTTTGTGTTGTGTAAATTTTTAGGTGCAGACTGGCTCCCTATAAAGCAGCATTGCTTTTCAGCCTTTGCTGCACTGGAATCATCTGGGGGCCATTTAGAAAAATACTGATGCTTGGTCCTCACCACAGATGAATCAAATTTCCTGGGGGTTTTGGCCAAGGAGAAGTGGTAGAGGCCGGGCCTTGGTGGTTTTAAAACAAAGTTTCTGTGTAAGTAATGTGCAGTTAGAGTTGAGACCTCAGAATTAGAGCATAGTTACTGGCATTTCAATGAAAAATGGTGTTTTATTGTTTTTAAAAATACTTACTAATTCTAATAATTTTAACAGTCTCTAATGAAGAGGCTCACCTTTGTAGCCTTCTCACTTGATAAGTTTTTGATACAGAAGGACCACAGTAATATTGATTGAATTGGGTATTACTCTTTGTTTTACAGAAGAATTTACCAGGGACTTTTTAATCAGGAAACTCTAGTATGTTTAAGTGGTAACTTCAGGAAAATATTCCTTCTGGGCTGGGCTCAGTGGCTCACGCCTGTAATCCCAGCACTTCGGAAGATCTGGGTGGGCAGATCACTTAACACCAGGAGTTCAAGACCAGCTTGGACAACATGACAAAACCCTGTCTCTACAAAAAATATAAAAATTAGTTGAGTACAGTGGCGTGAGCCTGTAGTCCCAGCTACTTAACAAGGCTGGGGCGGGAGGATCTCTTGAGCCCAGAATGTTAAGGCTGCAGTGAGCCTAGGCAACAGAGCAAGACCCTGTCTCAAAATAAACAAAATAAAATAAAGTAAAAAAATATTATTTCTGTAAGGTGATATACCTGTATGGAGAAATTACCAAGAATTATGTGTGCTTCTATAATTAATGAATGAATTCCTTGTAACTGTTTATCATGAGCCAAAAGCTTATTTTTTTGGCCTGAAAAGTTGTAGGAGATGTAAAATACTCGTTCTTTCTACTCCATGGCCTTTTATACACTAATGTGATATATAAGCTTAAGTTTGTCATGTAACAAATTCTGTGATTCTGAAATATAACCTATTTTAAGAATTCCTCATGTCAGCATTATAACCACTAATTATAATCCATAACCACTAATAAAATACTTTTAAAAAACATCATTAGTGATAATTATTTCCATATATGATTGAATATTTCTTACTTTTATAAATAGCTGGAAGGATGACTTTTTTGAAACAAAGTTGTATCAATTAGGTTTTTTAATGTCCTTATGTTGTAAGAGTAACTTGTGTACCTCTCCATATTTTTATATAAACATTCTGAACATGTCAGAAGTTTATCATAGAAAACAATTGCATTTTCTTGGAAAATATAGGTAAGAAGTCTGGAGAAAAAAGAATGGAAGAAGTGAATGTTCTTTTACTCTACTTGGTAATTTTTCTATATAAATGTGAAGAATTTCAAATCATCAGTTACTAGTGATGAATGATCAGATACATTGCTGTGTATTTTAATTGAGCTGCTTCTGAAATGTGGTGAGCTCCACTCCACATGTCTTTCTTTATTAACAAATAGCTGTCCTCTTAGGTTTTAATGTCCCTCTTTGAAGAATATTTTGTAAAAGATATTTTGCATTCATTTAATAATAGTGTCATTGGAACCACATTTTTATTTTTTCTCATTAAATTCTAAAGTAACAGGGTTAGTCAAATGTATGTATAGTATCTTCAGT